AGGATCATGAACATTTTAAAACCTTTGCTGTGGCTTTTAGCATGCTGGAGGCATATTAATAACCCATAATATTGTCCCTCCCTTCTACAAGTTCTTCTACAGGAGAGACAGACTTAATTTCCTATGTGTACCAAGAATAGAAAGTTTGAATGGTTTCCTTTTGCCTTCACAAGCTCAACACCTTTTTTGTTTCATAGGAAATATGAAAAACTAATTTCACAGAATTAACTTGAAAATCCTTCTCTGAATAATTCATTTTGGAACATCTGGCTGACTCACAGAGGCTTTACGGCTGCAAGAAACTTCCAAGCCTCAAAATTGCTCTGAACATATCTGCATTTCCTTTGATTATTAATACCATGGACAAGTTTCACAGCTGTTTGTGCCAACATGGAGTAGCTGCGCAAGAGAAATTTACTCTGAATGTACCTAATGTTGTGTGAACTACAAGTTTTCTCCAACTGAAAGCTTTATTTTCACTGTTGTTGAACTCAAAGAGGGGTATCAATTTTGTTCTCACAACTAAAGCAGCTGTCTTGTCTTACTGTTGTCAGCATTAGGCCATTTGGAATGTTCTTATTACGTATCTTGGATTTAAAATATTTGCTTCTAGTCTAATCAAATGTAAGTTTTATGTAACGTGCAGAAGGAAATTATATGTGTGGTTCTAGGCAGATAAACGGAGAAAAGTAAGAAACTCGAAATGTGCAGGCTGATAAAATTTGATAAGCAAATCATCTTATTGTATGAAGACTTATCTCCTAAGACCCTTGTCCTGAAAGTGCGTTGAACAGCTTTTTAAAAACACCTGCTCAGAAGCACCCAAACCGGCTTACAACATGACATTCAAAATCTAATACATTTCCTTGGGCCCCATTTGTTGTCTCTCAATGTAGTCTTCAAACAAACCATCTTCCATTTGTGGCTGTCTGTATAGACTGCACAAAAACATCCATTGGAAGGTGTGGAAGCGCAGGAATTAAGCAGAGGTATTTAAAAACCTGTCAAGGGAATGTGAGGTACAAAAGTGAGAGTTAATGTATATTAACATTAGGTTTTTTAAGTTCCCACCCAGATTTAGTGTATTAGCTGCAGCCCAGAGAAGCTTCTGATTTCCTCCAGCAATGTGCAGGCCCAGAATCACACAGAATCCCACCTCAGGTCTCACTCATTTACAAGAGCAGGGGCTGAGCCTGCATAGCTCTGTTTTTCACAGCAATCACAATTCCCATGGAAGCAACAGCTACGTTAGTCCTGAACTACTTATGGCCTTCAAGTAGAACTACTGCAGAAGGCCCTACTGAGCCAAGTTCTGCCTTTTTCCCCAGGGGAGCAAAAGGGAGCTACATGAACAGACAGCCTCAGTGACTGAGAAAGGAGCTCAGGATGCTGAGGACTACAAGGATGATTGCGGAGGCTTGGACTTAAAGGCTTTCATTAGAGCTTTTTTTTCTTTTTTCTTTTTTTTTTTTTTTTTTTTTGTAATTGCAAAATGCAACAGCTTGATAATGAGTCAAACTGAACAAAATACTCCCACCTTGAAGAGCTGAAACCTTGAAAAGGCTAGGCCTTGTGAAAAGTCATCCAGACAGCACGGGAGGCTGGCTAAGATAGGATGTGGGAGAAGTCTGCAGCAATTAGCTACAGTGTGAAACAACCTGCCGAAGGCAATGACAACTGCTCCATCCCGTGTTGCTGGAGCCAAAAAATGTCTCTGAATCCAGCCTGTAGACAACATAAGCATTTGGTGTGCGCAGCGCAGAGCAGAGGGGCTGAGGGGAGGCCTGATGGCGGTGCAGCTCCTCACAGGGAGCGGAGGGGCAGCGCTGAGCTCTGCTCTGTGTGACAGCGACAGGGCCCGAGGGAATGGCATGGAGCTGTCAGGGGAGGGCAGCTGGGGGAAGGGAAAGGGGCTGCAGCACAGCGCCGTGGGCATGGAGCGGGATGCACAGGGCTGTGGGCACGGCCCTGAGTGGCAGAGTTCAAGGAGTGATGGACAGTGCTCTCAGACATAGGGTCTGATTTTGGGTGGTCCTGTGTGGGGCCAGGAGCTGGACTCGATTATCCTCATGGATCCCTCCAGACCCAATGATTGTGTGATTCTGCATCTTGCCTTTCTGCATGGCTGTGAATTTTTCTGAAACACTAGCAATGCAAAAGGGAAATTTTCAGACTGGAAAAAGAGATGCCAGCAATTGTTTCATAAATATGTTTATGGGGAGAAATAGGTTAAAGGAGAGGAAGGCTATAAACCTCCAAAAGACGTATTACAGAAATCTTTGTGCAAAGCACTACCTGGACTTTCAAAAAATGATCGTGAAATTGCAAAAATTCTCATTAGGCTGAAATGCTGGCCCAGTAAAGAGCTTCTTATAATAGACTGGTTTCAAGAGTACTGATAAACAGTGAAAGGAAGAAGCTGCAGGAAGAAGAGTTTGAAGTAAATGTGATTTAAGTGCTACCTATTACCGACAAGAAATCTGACAAGTTCAAACGAGAAATGTAAAATGAGCTAACTACACAGGAGCTGGAGAGAGCCATCATAGGCAGAGACTAACAAAAGAATAGCCGACCAAGTACACAAAAGGCTTTGCGATTATGGGCAAGAAATAGCTCAGAGTGATGGGATTTTTTGTCAGAAAGATTGTCAAAATAGCGTATCATACAAGTTCATTAATGTGGTGCAAAATCCATAAGAAATCTTGAGTGGAGCAGGGCTTGTAGTATCCAGTGCTGCTCACAGAACTCTGTCCAGCCACAAACAGTGCTGCCGGAGATAAGGTACTCAAGTGTGAAATCTACAACATATTCAGGGAAAACATGCCAGAGAGTCAGTTGTGCTATGTTTTATTCCTGATTACCCTGAGGCCGTGGATGGCACAGTCCAAATGAAATACTACACATCTTAAACACTTGAATCCGTAGTAAAGGAGTCACAACACCCCTTCCATAATTTTTCTGAGCTAATCAGTTTCAGAAGTTAGGAAAAGGGAAAAAGCATCTTATTAGCATCTTCTGAGAAGCCACATAAACCAAATGTATGCAGCACTGAAATAAAGGTAAAGCTCTATGCCAGGCAGTGGGATTAAAGGACATGAACAGTTGTCATCCTCTGGAAGTAGAAGAGTGAGTTTCAACCAGAAAGTATCAGCACCACGTGTCACTGATGGAGCTTATCATATCTACTTCAAGGCTAACTGGTGGACACTGAAGCAGAATCAAGGAGAGGTTGCAGTAACATTCCTGTAAGCAAATAGAAAGTCTGTGTCACCCATTTAGTGTCTAAAGGGACCAGACATTAAAGAAATAATGTGCTTTGGTTGTGGATATGGGAGCTGACTGCAAGTTAGTGAGTGCAGGGTTAGAGATATAGTGTGTTTTTGACCACTTGTAGAGACAATCTCAATGCCTGTATGCAAACCTAAGCACAGGTTTACTGGGGGTTATTGTAGCTTTATGTGGCATAGTCCTGGCTCTCATGCTGTCCCTATTAGAATATTATGTGCTTAGGAGCGTGGAAAATGAGGGGTATTCAGCTAACACCAAAGTTATGCAGTGTTTTACTGAGCTCAGAACAGCTCTTGACAGCTGCTACTAAAACTATGCAGACTTATGTTTCTGTGTTAGCGGAGGATGCAGTAACACTCCCTGGGTCCCACAATAGGCACAAGTTCGCATCAGCTGCAGAGGGATCACTCACACCAGTGTTTGCACAGTCACACCAGTTGGAGATGCAGCTGGTACGAGCCAGGCTGGAAAGTGTTCTGGCTTTTCTATTGAGTTTATCTGCTCCCTCTGCAATGGATTAGAAACACTGAAACCACAGGGAGTAGCAAGGGGAAAAACCATTCTGAAAATGTCTTCTGTCTGGTCAGAGGACTAAACGTAAAATCACTATACTCCAAAATGGAGAGTATGTGTGAATTTAAAGAAATTCAAATATAACTTTTCATAGAATCCTTTGAGTTGGAAGAGAACTTTAAAGGTCATCTAGACCAACTCCCCTGCAATGAAAAGGGTCATACACAGCTAGATCATGTTGCTCAGACCCTGGTCAAGCCTGATCTTGAGTGTCCCCAGGGATGGGACATCCACCACCTCTCTGGGCAACCTATTCCAGTGCCTCATCCCCTCACTGTAAAATACTTTTTCCTTATATCCAAACTAACTCTCCCCTCTTTAAGTTTGAAACTGTTTTCCCTTGTCCTTTCACCATGGACTCTGCTAAAGAGTCTATTCCCTTCTTTCCCGTAGCTTTCTTTTAGCTACTAACTTTAAGGCCACTATCAGGTCACCCCAGAGCCTTCTCTTCTGCAAACCGAAGAGCCTCAGCTCTCTCAACCTGTACTCACTGGAAAGGTGTCCATCCCCTAGATCATTTTTGGGGCCCTCCTCTGGACACTCTCCAATAAGTCCATGTTTCTTCTGTACTGAGGACTCTGCATCTGGATGCAGTACTTCAGGTGATGCCTCATCAGTGATGAGTAGAGGGGCAGGATCACCTCCCTTGACCTGCTGTCCATGCTCCTTTTGATGCAGCCCAAGTTATGGTTGGCTTTCTGGGCTGCAAGGGCAGATTTTTGGCTCATGTCCTTTTTGCCATCCACTAGCATTCCCAGGTCCTTTTCAGCAGGGCTGCATTCAATCTTTTTATCCCCCAGCTTGCATTGGTAGTGGAGGTTGCCTTGATTCAGGTGCACCTTGCACTTGGATTTATTGACCCTTGTGAGGTTCACCTGGGCCCACTGCTCAAACCTGTCTCTCTGGATAGCATCCTGTCCCTCAGGTGTGTCAACCACACCCCAGAGCTTAGTGCCATCCACAAACTTTCTGAGGGTGCACTTGCCCCCACCCACTGTCAGTGTCATTGGTGAAGGTATCAAAAAGTATCAGCCCCAGCACTGACCCCTGGGGAACACCACTTGTCACTTATCTCCATCCAGACATGGAGCCAGTGACCACCACTCCGGATTCAATCCTGCAACCAGTTCTTTGTCCATTCATCAAATCCATATCTTTCCATTTTGGAGAGAAGAATGTTGTGGGATACCATGTCAAAGGCCGTACTGAAGTCTGGATAGATGACATCAGTGGATCTTCCTGTATCCTTTGATTCAGTTACATCATCATAGAAGTCCACAAGGTTGATTGAGCAGGATTTGCCCTTGGTAAAGCTATGCTTGTTCTCCTGTATCACCTCTCTGCCTTCCATGTGTGTTAGCATAGCTTCCATGGTCTTTCCCAGCATAGAGATGGGACTGACAGGTCAGTAGTTCTCAGGGTCATCCTTTTTACCCTTCTTAAAAGTGGGTGTGATGTTGCCTTTTTCCAGTCACCAGGGGCTTCACCTGATTGCCATGACTTTTAAAATATCCTTGAGAGTGGCTTGGCAACTACATCAGCCAATTCCCTCAGGACCCTGGGATGCTTCTCATCAGGATCCATAGACTCATTAATGTCCATATTCTTTAGGTGGTCACGAACCAGATTTTTACTTACAGCACAAGGGTCATTGCTTCCCCAGTTCCTTCCTTCTAATTTAACTAGGGCTGTGTGATGACCAGGGAAGACCAAGGCAAAAAGATTGTTGAGTACCTCGGCCTTCTCCTTGTCTGTTGTTACCAACAATTTTATTATGCCTTTATAGGTATTTTAGTGAGAAAGGAAAATACATCTCTATTTATTTATTTATGAACAGATAAAATTCCTTGTAGAGACTGTTTTACTGGCATTAAGGTTATCTTTTACTTGTTCCTTTTTCCTGGAACTATTTGCTCTGATATAAGGCAATGGTTATGTCGTTGTACTTGTGCCCATCCTAGGGAAACTGAGTGATTTCTATTATCCTGGTAGCCATGCACTGTCTGCTACTAACCAAGGCCCCGATATTCATATTCTTTTGAATTCATTTCTGAGGACTTGAAATACTTTTTATATCTTTCTTTTTAGTCATATTAGGCAGTTATGTTGGGACAAACTCAAAGAGAATCCCTAATCATCTCCTGCATGAGCATTGGTGAATTCCATTTTGCAGCAAGAGCAGAGGTAGGAGAATCTCTAAATCAGGTTAATGAGATGCCAGAGCCAAAAAAAACTTATCTCCAGGAACAACAACAAAAGCCCCCCTGAAAGATAGTGATGTAAGTGCCAGAGATTTTAAACAAGAAGTCACAGTGATGAATGACATGCTGCTCAAGTAACTGGAAGAGTTTGCAGTACAATCTAAATATTAATTTTCCAGCATTCATATGTATTGCATCAATAAAAGTTTAGAAGAGATGCAGGCAGATCTGACAAGGATCTCAAGTGCAGAGCAGCCTGACTGTGAAGTCCTCATTATGTTGTTTTATTGTAAGCTTTTCTGCATGTGATATATTTTGCTCCTGTGTTGATGCTGTAGTTCAAAAAATCTCCTCTGCCTTCCTCCTGTCTACCTAGAAAGAGGGAAGATACAAACAACAAAGATTCAGATGAGTAAATCTATCATCGTTCATGCAAGTATAAGTGGTAACTTAGGAAATTAGAAAGTTTTTTTGAAAATAACTCAAAAAAGTATTTAATAATCTTGCAAAGTATTATCTCAGTGTAAATTGTATTTGAGGAAGGGTGGCATGAATGAGGTCAAAAAGACAGGCCATTCAATGTCACCATATACATATTGTTAGAGGAATATCTGGCAGTGCTAACACAATCACATTGTTTTGTCAAGTATACCTGAAAAAGGAATCCCCTTTCATTTGAAATTAGTTTTATCAGCCCTCTTTTGTCTTTTATTTACCTTTTCAAAATATGTGGTATCTGAACAATTTTAAAGTATTAAAGAACTAATTGTGGTGGTTTTTTTTTTTTTTTTTTTCTGTCTTCTTCTCTAATTATTCAAAACTGACTTCGATTCTTCTGCTGCCAGGACCCCCTGAGCACATTGGCATCAATGTAGCATTGCTGAATTCACTGCTGAAGAAAATTAAAGTTTCTGCTGTGAAAAATATTTGAACTAGCTGTAGAAGTATAAGGAATTGATAGACTTCAGAAATCTCAACACACTTGAAAGCCAGTTGACTGTACTGATTCATATTAACTAGATCTGATTTATATTGTTCTGCTAAATTAAATAAGCTTTCCTAAACCTTTGGTTTCCACAACACTGTTCACGTGTCAGTGGCTAGTAGCAGATACTTTAGAAAGAGAGGGAACAAACCCTGGAAAAGCTCTTTATGGTAGAAAACACCTCCATAATACCCTGCATCAGTCCCTAGGCAGTGTTCATCCAAAGGAAGAAGGGGTTCTATTGGTGCTATTTAAATTAAAGATGTGGCAAATCACTAAAACTAAAGAAAGATCAATGGATTGGAGTCTGTTCCCTCATTTATCCACACGCTGCCGGTTGGATTTCTTTTTCAGTAGGATAAACCTTTTGAGATTTTACTAGATTTTCCAAGATGAGGTCCAGGTCTCTTATTATACATTTATTACTAATGCATAACCCAGAAGCACGGCTAGGTATTTCAAGTGATCCCCTTCAGTGCTCATTACCTGGCATTTGAGAAGAGCAGAATTTAATTTGGCATCACACTCCCTCAGCACCTCCTTTCTCAAGGTCCTTCTGATATTCTTCAGGCTAGTCTCTATCTTCGAGTAATTCAAATTATTTTGTGTCCCATGCAAATATCATCACCTCAGGCTCCTTGTGGTTTGAAGGGCAAACTGAAAGAAAGATCAGCTTATGCTTTTATATTCTTTCTAAGCATCTACTCTTGGTCACTGTTGAAGCAATGAGCTAAAGAGACATTTTACATTGCTGTTTTTCCAATCTCAAAGTCAGCCATTGTCACCAGTATCCTAAATTATTAAACATTTCACCACAAAAAGTAGGCAAGACCCTAAGATTATGAACATTCACAGTGAATCATAGAATCATAAACTGGCTTGGGTTGGAAGGGACCTCAAGGATCATTAAGCTCCAACCACCTGCCGCAGCAGGGCCGCCAACTTCCACATTTAATACTACACCAGTTTATCCATCCATCCATCCATCCATCCATCCATCCATCCATCCATCCATCCATCCATCCATCCAGTGCCACTGGATAAACTAAGTGGGGGAAGTTGTAATTCAGCAGCAACCACATGTGCGTAGAAACACATAGAAAATACCATGCTGTCTCACCAAAACTAGCTCATACCTCTGATTTGCTAAATTTGCACTGCAAAGCCAAACTGAGAAGATTCAGAACAATCTTTGAAGAAGTTTGAAAACACCCACCGTGGGGCTGCCATGAAAAAGTCGGTGATGCACTGCTCTAGTTTATACCGTATTTTGGTTATGATATTGCCCTGACCGATGGAAAAAATGGTATTTGCAGAGTTGTTCGTGCTGTGTCTGGAAACAGTCACAGGCAAGAAATATTTGAAATATGTTGATATTTTGATATTTTAATTATAAGTGGAGAGGGAAAGTACTGATTCATGACATATATAACATTGGTACCTTCTTGTTTCTGATTTTTACCTATGCTGCCTGTAGACATCTTCAGAAAATCCAGGTGATTGATTGCCATCTTCTTCTAATTAAGAAAAGCATTGTAGAGTTTATTCTGAGCATTTTACACTAACCTCTTCTTCAGCTATCACTGTGAACATAATCTGCTTTCACCCCAAATGGAATACCCAAAGGATACTATTTGTGACTTGTGAAACCCTTGGGAGCAATCTGTGCATCATATTCATAGAATCGTAGAATGGTTTGGGTTGGAAGGAACCTTTAAGATCACCTGGTTCCAACCCCCTGCTATAGGCAGGGACACCTCCCTCTAAACCAAGTTGCTCACAGCCCCATCCAGCCTGGCCTTGAATGCTTCCAGGGAGGGGGCATCCACAGCCGCACTGGGCAGCCTGCTCCACTGTCTCACCACCCTCACTGTAAAGAATTTCTTCCTGATTTCTACCCTCTTCCAGTTATTAGTGACAATGAAACTGATTAACATTTCACAAAGAGCTCTTGTCCAGTCACTATTTGCTATTTAGTTGCTAACCCTTGAGTCATTCTTTTCATACAGATGTAATTGTTCTGCTGAGGTTTCAGACCTGAATTTTTCACAGATTTGACTGTAAGGAGACTGGAATAGAGTATCTCATACAGGGGAACATTCCCCTTCCAAGAAAGGTTTAACAACAGTAATATTTTTGGCTCATGTTAATCCCATTCGATATCAGAGCAAGTATTGTGGTAAAGGAAGGATAGTTCTTTGCTTAGGGAGGTTATTTTTCTAAGTATATGATTTTCAGTTATTCATAAAAAGCAAGTGTTCATGTGATGATAATTATGTTGTTCTGGTATCAGGCATAAAGTACTAATTAACAATTTTACTAAAGATGATACATTTATTTTCACTAATTTTACTTATTTGATAAGTTGTTTCAATGAAGCTCTGATAAATTTTAAAAAAGGTTATTTAAATGGCTGCAAGCCGAATCTATTATCTGCAAGTCACACTTGAATAAATCTTATAGTTTAATTTTTAAAGCTTTGCTACATATTTATCAGAGTCATTATTCACCTAGATTAACAATTTCTTCTGACCTCCTGCAACATGTGTGTATGTTATCTCCTAGACTTTTCTGTCAGCTAGATGCTCACTTCCTATACAAGCAACACTGTATTTGTGTAGAAGCTCTCCATAGCAACTAATGAGCTCCTGAGGGTAAGAAAAGCAATGAAGCTCAACTTTGATTTACAAAAATGAATCAGTCATTCCTCCCCCCCACCCTCCCCTCTCTTTTTTGTTTTTGACAGGGACTTTTAAAAGATTTATAATTCAGCTGTATTGTCATTTGCATCCAGTACAATTGCCATAGGAAATTTAACCCTATCCTTAGCAGAATTTGAGATAATCTCTCTCTCCAGAGCTCCCATATACCTCAGGTACAGCTTCCTCTGCATGATGCTTTCTTTATTCTGTAGTTCAGACAAATTTTGCAAGTCAGATGATCTCCTGTTGAGGAGTGACACAGATCAACTGAGCTGTGAAAGGAAAGACTTTCTATGGCTTTACTAAACCTATTGCACTATTTCTCCTGTGATAGTGGGCACCACTCAGTTTTTCTTTGATTTGCTCTGCTTCTGCTGACATTGACATCTGGTCAAATGCAGGGCACCCTGAATTCTGACCTTGTCTAAACACCGTTTCCATCAGTGTGGAGCAGGGAAGACATGGGAAATTTGCCAAGGAAGGTCCCTTTCTAATAGCTACTAGCAAAACCCCCAAGCTATGTTGTATTTTCCTGATTGTTTTTTTTCCTTTAAAATTCGTTTTTGTTTTTGTTTTAAAAATTGCATCTGAGCCTCAGGAACAGTATTATTAAGTTCCCGCTTCAAAAGGAAACAAAGAGTAGGCATAAGAACATTTCAAAACATTGTGATGAATTAACTGAAGTTCTCTGATTTCACTGCTGACCACTTCATTACACTGACTGATACCTCACTGTGTGCAGTTGGCTTTGTTGTAAATTCTTCATATGTGTCTCAGCGAAATAGGCACATGTTGTTCTTTCATACTTTTCCGCTCTTCCCACAGTATTGTTTTTTTAATTTCACCAGAACAGAGAAGTATCCACTTTATTCCTTTCCCTATGATCATTTTATCCCCAAGATTTCCTGGAGAATAAAAACTAGGCATCCTAAAAGACCAACTCAGACATTGTAAATGCAAAATATCAGCCTCCAACAAGCTTCTCTGTCATTTACTTGCTACCCAATGAACAAGTATTTGTTTTGGGTTACATTCTGAGGTAGAGCCAAATTTTTTGTTCCAGTTCAAAAAAAATGCAATTATTTCACTTTCCAGAAAACGTGAGAAAAGAAAGGGCAGTTCCCTCTGGTTTTCATGTATAACATTCATTTCAGATGTATATTCTTGGTGTCTGGTAATAGAGTTATGATCAGTGGGAGTTCAAATACTCGCTCACCAGCAGTAGTAAGAAGACAATATCTTTTATAAATCTTTCTGCCAGTTAAGTAGAAATTAGTTGATGCATTCCAAAATTATGTCAGGCTGACAGACACAAAAGAACACAGGTAGCAAAGATCTAGTTTCCTTAGATAAATGGGATAAAGGTCCCTTTAGATTCAATCCTCCTTTTATCGTAAAGATTCCTTCTTTTCCTCTCTCTCTCTTATTGCTTTTGAAGTGTGATGGAACAACTAATTTCTTGCTGCAGATCTTTCTACATTCAGTTGTATGGGCACTAGAAATCTGCAGTGAAATCTTCACCACTTTAATGCCAGACTTGCTCAGGTGTTACAGAGAAAAGGGCTAGACTAAGCTAGATGGACAGTTATTTTGTTTCTTTAGGTTATTATTACAAGATAAGCAGTGTTTTCAAATTACTCAACACCCTCCTTTCTAAATCCTAAGTAATCTTTTCTCCAAAGTGCACAAGGCTGTTCTATTCATGACCCTTTATGTGGCTTCTCAGTGTTTAAAATGTATTTGTTATTTATGCAGTTCATTAGCCCAGCAGATTATTATTTACCAACATTATGAATCACGCCTGTACTTTCAGTGTATCACTCAATCAAAATCCCACAGAGTTGTTTTTTTTTTATCTTTCACAAAGAACAGTTTTATTTTTCTCTTGTGAAACATCAAAACTTGAAAACAATTAAAAATAATTCAGTTACTTCAGAACAAATTCACAGAAAACTGGCTGTATTTCATTAAAATTATATAGCTATAATTTCAGCAAGTCATGTACTTGCTGTATTTGTATGAATTTGCCTATCAGTCCAGCTGTGGGGTTTTTTTGTGTAGTATTCCAGCCCAGTTCTGGTTTCAGTTACCTTTAAAACACTCTTGGCTTTCAAGACCCTTGAGAAAGAGATTAAGTGGGCACTTGCATAGACATATCTCTTAGCTATCAATTTTAAACTAATCCAACAGTGTAGTGAATAATGGGATATTTCAGTACACAAAACCTGATGGTGAAAGCATAATGCTGTAGGAGAAGAGAAGCACATGCAGAATGACTTCAAACTTTTGAAAGGGTAAACTTGGCCTGTTGTCTCCCCTGAACTAGAAGAATGCCACTGGAATCAATGGTCTTCCATCACCAAGAAATAGGACCAAACTCAGAGGCAGTTTTATCAAGACCTTCAAACCTTCCTGCAACTTCCACAAAGACCCTAAAATGTGGGCCTTGGCTTTTATTGGTTTTCCTTGCTATGACAATGTTTGGCTGCTATGTCTATTGGAGCATTCTGTAGAGGAATACTAAAACTAGTAAAATACATGTAATTTCTCAGTATTAAAGATAGAGCTTTTTTTCTATGATAACCTAATGACCTTTTTTTTTCTGCTTTTTATCTTGCAAAGAGCATCATTCAGCTATTTTCTTGTCAGAAAACTTATGATCATTTGTGATCATAAGGCATGTGGCATGTGAGATCATGAGGCAGTGCTAATGGATTGTGTATAACAAACTTATTAGCACTGAAACTGTTAGCAGTAAAACTCTTCACGATTTGAGACACATCTGCAAAATTTCTGTTTGATTCTTTTTACTGGAAGCTGAGTAAGGAAATGTCAGGTTTTTTATTTTGAATATCTGATGAAGTTATGTGCATTTTCTTCCTTCTGATGGCTTTTCCTTTTGGGAATATTTGTACTTACTTCTCCTGAGAATGGCAAAGGCAAACGTCATAGTTT